GTCTCCAACACATTCTTGACTCGATCTCAGTTTGTAAAGCTTGTTCATGCTACACGAGCAGCTCGTCTCGATGCGTTCTCACTCAGGATTTCAGGTCGACTCACCAGCCGGGGTCATGGGTCAGAGGTTGTTTGCGTTCATCGTGGCAGAGATGGCGTTCAAATATTTTGTGTTGAATTGAACAGAAAGCTGGAAATGTAACATGGGCAACTTCTCTAGAGGCCCCCATGGTCTTCATTACATATGGCAATGAACAACAAGCACAGGACCTTAATGTGACCTTTATTCTCTCTTTTAGCCCTGCCTCAAAGAGCGCCATTGTCTATGAATTTAGATCTTTAACTGTAAGAGGTATGATTGGTTGTTTGATCTACAAAAATGGATTTACACTGACAGTTGAATAAGCATTTCAGTCAAGAAATATGCTAAGCTTTGCCCTGTTCTCCCATGTAAGGATAAGCTGCTTTTCTCTGTTTTTGTAAATGTTATGATTGTAATACACTGTTGAGATGGTGGACAGTTGGAGCTCCTGTGAGCATCTTAAATCTTTCGTTGGTTTTGGCGCCCCCCCAAGTGGGACCTCATCTCTTTACTGGACTTGCGTTCAAGTTGTATTTTAAATCCCACCCAAAAAATCTCACCCTTCTTTCTTTTAACCGTGAACTGCATCACTCATGAGAATCTTTGTTGTGGAAAGTGTGAAAAGAAGAGGCTGTTTTTTGGGGCGTTGTTGTTAATCGTCTTGTTTGACACCTTTTAGCAACCGTTTTAGAGTCAGACGCCAAAAAAGAATTGTGGAAATTCTCAACCTTCTCGCCGATGGTCACATTTGCTTGTGTGGCTCGTAAAGAGACATCAGTATTACTTTTATTCTGTTTGGTAACCCGCTACATGAGCTTCAGTCAGACAAAGCAAGGTACATGGGGTTGTGGCCTTATTGGCCAAAGCTCTTTTTTTTAAGTTATTGGCAATAATGAATAAAGGATTTAGTTTTAGTAGACACATTCATACTTCTTAAAGCATACTTTAAATAACTGAATGTTATACCATTCATATTTATGGAAATATTATGATTGCATGGTGCGTGTCTTTAAGCAAATTAGTTGTGAAACAAGTCAACACAAATGTAACATTCAGCAAACCTGGGACCTGGTTTGCTTCAAGCTCAGAAATCCATGTTGTTATGAGGGAAATGTTTAAAAAAATACTTATTACTATTACTTTTGTGTTTGGGGGCGCTCTAGAGGGGGCCCATAGCTTTGTTTTGCCCTTGGTCTCTTTCTCAGGTTTTCCGTCCCTGCCTCGAACACCTCCACATTTCAAAAGTGGCTATTATTTAGTAAACAAACTCTAAATATTATATATTTACACATCATTGATTTATAAATTGGATAACCAGCCAAAGTTGAAGCTGGTCAATAAGATTAAGTTTCAAATGACCACTAAACTATGTATTTTCCTTTTAAGCTTTCGTTGTATTATTCATGTCCAAAGAGTGTAACTGCCTAAATATTTCTGCCATGTTTGGAGTGCTATGAAGAAGGATTGTCATGACACCAGAATTTGAAACTTAGATATGATACTGATCAAAATCAAAGGATATTGAATGATATCATCTTTGAAACCCTGGCAACACATTTAGAAGATCTAGGTACCCAGTATTGGGTAATTTCTTGATTTTACTTGGCAGATAATGCTAGCAAACCCCTCCACTCTGACTTAAAAGTTGACATTGTATTTGTGCTATTAGACGGTGAACAAGCTTCCTTTTTGGGTTACAAATACGTCCGAAGATTTGATGGAAAAACTTTTTGGTACCTTTTGATTCCTTTGAAAGCTAGTCCAAATCAAGCTAGTTGAAAGTCTGCCTCTGCATTTTATATATTCTACATGAAAGTGCAGTTCAGCTTTCAGGTTTACGGTGACAGGGCAGAACTGGACTATGTTGGCTACTTCTGGAGTAGAATTACATAACTGGACTGTTGCAAGGTATTTCAGGATTACTCTTAAAAAGCTCGACAAAGAGGACAGATGAAGAGAGACTTCTGTGATGGTTTGAATGCTGGAAGGAAGTGGTTGTGAAGCTCACATCCCTCACTCAGATACTCTTTCTCAGTCACGCACACACACACACACACACACACACACACACAGACGCAGAGCAGCCCTCCCCTCGCTCTCTCTCATTCACTCACTCACATTGGGTGATGCACTCCTCCATTCTTCTCTACCTGGGGCAGTGAGGAAGGCCAGGGAGACGCACAAAAGCAAATTGAAATGCTCCAGTGAGTGCTTTCTTGACATGATGCATGGCTCATGAGATGCAGCCTGGCCCTGCTGCTACACTTGTAAGCGTGCTGGAACAGACCGGCCCCAGTTCAAAACACTAGTGTCTTCACAGTGCAATGCAAAACCCCTCTCACCACCTTCTACCGCATTTTCCTGACCCCCCCTTAACTCCTTCAATACACTGTGTTTGATTTGGACTTTGATTTAAGATGTTAAAGTTTGACATGATTGCAGAAAAAATAACATTTGACTAATTGAATGATGTGTGTTCATGGTTGGACT